TGGTTAATGACTTCTAAGACAGTACAGGTAATCTGATATCATTAGATGATTTTTAACAAAATTTGATATAACCCATTACGTCATGAGCATTTTGTGAAAAATGGCTGTTTTCATTGAAAAGTCTCCTGTTACAAGTTCAAATTGATATAAAACTATAAAAACTAATTTAGTACTAATCAAACTTGGCACAAATGTTTACTGGACCATTGCCTTTGTAACAACATGCTCAGGCTTAAATTTCCTGTTACCATGGCAACGAGGGGACATCTCAAAATTGTCAAAAATCACTATTTTGCCTCGATTTTTCCATCAAAATTCATTTCAAAGTGCTGCAACTTCTCAATGGATTGAGATAGAGTCAAATGCTTATCAGCGTTGGTTACACGTTACCTTATGATCGATCTGGTGTCATTTTTAGCATCTCACAAGTCCAAGATTTTCTTGGCGATGAGGGGGACCGCCGTCCTTCTTCAAACCCCCCAAATAGAAGGGGGCACATCCCCCTTCTGGCAATCCCCTGATGTATCTTTTGGTTGGGGGCCGCGCCGAAAAAGTGGTCACCTTTTAAGCAACATTTCTTAAACAAAAACAAGTGTCGGGGCCTAAATAAGGCATTTTTTCACCATTTGAGACAAAAAAAAGTGGGGGGTAGAAAAGGGCGTTTAAAGGTGTATATCGTGTAATGGGATAAATACCATTATATAGTCTATTAGAAGATTTTTTTAATCAAATGTCATTCACGAGCCACTTAGCTCCAGAAGGAGCCTTAATGATTAAGATAATCAATAGTCAAAAGAAGGGATGCAGACAAATGTATGATTATATATTTAGAGCAAATACATCCTATAACTGCTACGAGAAAATGGGAGGATAAACTCAATTTGAATGATCACTTTTCATGGAATTGCATTTATAGACTCCCTTTCAAATATAACAAAGGTTTTAAATTCACACTGGTTTCAGTAAAAGTTAACCACAGGATACTGAAAACAAATTATCTTTTACATAGAATGAGAATAAAAGATGATTACTTTCTGCAACAGCCATATTGAAACTAAAAAACATTTATTTTTGGATAGCAAGTTAAGTTCTTCGGTCTGGGAAGATATAAAATTATGGATAACTGATGATATCAAATCACAGTGGATCTTAACAAGTATTATTCTAGGCAATGAACACCTAAATAATTCAAGACTGAATTTAATTTTATTGGGAAAACATATTATATTAAATGAAAATTAAAGAACCCGGTTCCAAGCTTTCAACTTTTTAAAAGTTATGTTGTTCATCTTTTGAGATCACAATTATAACATGCAAAAAACAAAATAGGGGTTTACAGTTTGACAATTCATAAGGCAAATATGTTTCATTGCTATCTAATTAAGACTAATGTTTTAAGATCATTCATTTAGGCTTGATCAATTGGGTACTGCATACACTGCCTTTTTTCTAGTTCTTTTTCTCTTGAACACATTTATGACCTTTGGTGTTTTTATTTTTTTCCTTATGATATAAATGCATAAATTATTCATGACAATAGGTACAGCTCTTAATTAAACATCAATTTTAAAACAGTATGAGTTGTTTCCTTTGAGTTAATGTCAATTTTGTCAAAAATTTCATGTTAAGTTCGGGTTTATCCTTTATGTTAAAGAAGTCTTATAATAATGTAATGTTATAACTTCTGAAAAGGAAACTTCTTCTAATGTCATATTAAAACAGGTCTGGCATTATTAAAATTTTACAATATGAGTAAAATTATATTACTAGATTACTTTCGTTTTAATCTTTATATAATCTTAAAAGAAATCTTTTTTCCCTCTTTAAATGTAAACACAAAAACATAACACACTTATTAATAGATAAGCGAATGTTTTGATCGGAAAAAGAGACTGTAATGTATGTTTACCTTTGACCGTAATAAACTGTGAATCAGTATTGGTTCCATCTGAACACACCAACTTTCTTCCATTGTCTTTCATAGTTACCTTGATAATTGTTAAGTTGAAGATGTGATTTGTCTCATCATATGATATATTGTATTGATCAATGTATTTAGGGTTAATGTCACATTTTCTACGTACACACTGAGCAATTGGTGAAATATCGTTTAGATTCATCCAAGCTATGGCAAACGTTTTATTCTTGAACTTGCAAGGTAATGTTAGATCTCGGCCACATTCACATGTTTTTCCGTAAGCAGGGCTGTCTGGTACCAATATATTAACATTTGAACCTGAATTTAAACAAAAACATATCATAAATATATCAATGTGTAATGAGGAGGGTCATAAACGTGAAAAATATAAATAAAGCGAGCGTATGAAGATACCTAATCAAGTGAATGATAGACAAGCAAATGGAAAAGAAGCCATCTTTTATTTAATTACTATAAAATAAATTAAAATAAATAATACCAATGCCTAGAGAAAGATAGCCGCAAGTGATGGGAATTTAAAGTTTGAAAATGAATAACTGTCAGAAGAACAGAACTCTTCTGGTTAATTTACTATATACAGATTTAGCAGTAAAAGATAAGTGAAGCGGTGGCCTACCTCAAGATGGGTTGAACGCTGTTATACAAATGTACAACTTTTTACACGTGAGCACTGAGTTGTTTTTAAGAAGTCTATATCGCTTCAAAATCAGTTTTGTACGACGCGTATTTCGGTTACATGAGGTTTTTTTTAGATGACATTTAACACTGAATAAGTCATTATTTTGGTAATATATAATTTTTGTAACAAATAGTAAGACTTTCATTTAGATAAACAAATTGGCACCATAATGTAAATAAATTATTATTTTGTTGACCCTTCAATAATTTGACAATGTATTTTTAGGTCACACTATTGTGCACATAATAAAAAGCGTGACATCAACAATAATGTACCAATGTAACACTGTATAAACTGGTACATATGGACTGTTTTGAACATTTTAACTGTTCCAACACATTAAACCTATGTACATTATCAATTTCATTCAATTATTTTTAGTGTCTCATTTCTCACAAATGGGGCACAGGAATGTGTAACCACATCTGAGAAAACTTACTCTTATCACACTGTTCAAACCTCACAATGAAAATAAATGGCCTTGTATTAAGACATGATACACTTTTCATCATCTGTTATTTTCTCATCAGAACTTAAGCTGTCCTCTACATACTTAACTGTTTTCTTAATGTTTTAACCAGAATTGCTTGGCTTGGGAATATTTACTATCAATATCCCTTTGGTGTTTTGTTGGGTTTTGTTTCTGACACATTTGATTTTGCTTTTCTGTTCTCCGTGTTTTTTTTTATTTATTTATTTCTTTTTTCTTTTTTTTTTTTTTTTTTTTCTTTTCTTTTTTTTTTTTTTTTCTTATCAATAATGGTCATTCTCAGATATAGGCTTACCTCCTACTTCTTTGCTTAGAGTGTACCTTACATTTTCACAGCCTCCAGATTCACGTAAGTCTTTGTGATAAGCAGCATTCCAAGTTATTTGAAAAGGACCGAAACAACTGATATCAAATTGCTAAGGCAGTTGAGAACACTTGGATGGCAACACAAATAAAAATTTTCTTTCGGCATATTTCCTATTCAACAAGACCTAATGATACATGAGAAGTACGTATGTCCATCATATAGGACTAGAACATGAGTATTTTTATCTTTTAAATTAGATAGATGTTTTAGGAGATGTTATTGCGTATATTTTCAGAAGACCGGTTAGACCACCCATTGTACGTCATGGTTCGATCAGCCCCTGGACTGAGACCATCAATCAAGTTATCTAGCAATCTTACACCAAAGAAAACTAGAACTATCACTTAATGTGATAAATACCCCCCGCAAGACTGCTTCGGAAATGAGGATGTTACTAGTAACAGAATACCTTGTAAAAGAATTGAAATAGAGTTATGGTTATGGGCAATAAAAGATAGTTGTGGTTCTTGTATGTTGCATTTCCTTTCAATGTGGTTGGCCATTGATGAAGTTTTATTGAATTACGCTGTAATAAGTGCAGAAAGACAAGGAAAAGGAACAAAGGGCAATAACTCTATAAATACTGAAGATGGAGTTATGGTTATTGTACACTGCACTTCCTGTCATTGCGTTTGACCATTGTATGAAGTTGTATTAATTTCCAACTACTAGTTTTCAAGTTATGCACTTGAAAAAAAAGTAACAAAGGGCAATAACTGTAATTAGTCTAAATTGATTTATGGTTCTTGTGAACTGCACTTCATCTCACTGCCCTTGACCATTGTATAAAGTTTCATTGAATTCCAACCATTAATTTTCAAGTTAAGCACTGGACAATAAAAAGTAAAAAAGGGCAAAAACTTTTAAATGAGTCAAGAAAGAGTTATGGTTTCTGTGCACTGCGCTTCCTCTCAATATACTTGACCATTGTATGAAATTGTATTGAATTCCAACTAGTAGTTTTCAAGTTATGCTCTGGACAAGAAAAAAGCAATGGAAAAGTAACAAAGGGCAATAACTCTATAATTACTCTGGACAGAGTTATAGTTCTTGTGCACTGCACTTCCTCTTATTGTGCTTGACCATTGTATGAAGTTGTTTTGAATTCCAACCAGTACATTTTAAGTTATGCTCCGGACAAGGAAAAGTATCAAAGGGCTAACTTTGCATTTATTCAAAATGGAGTTATGGTTCTTGTTAATGTCCTTGACAACTGTATGAAGTTGTATTGAATTCCAGTCAGTAGTTTTCAAGTTATGCTCCAGACAAGGAAAAGTCACAAAGGGCAAAACTTTGTAATTACTTTAGATAGAGTTATGGTTCTTGTGCACTGCACTTCCCCTTTTCGTGCTTGACCATTGTATGAAGTTGTTTTGAATTCCAACCAGTAGTTTTCAACTTATGCTCCGGACAAGGAAAAGTAACAAAGGGCAGTAACTCTGTAATAAGTCAATATGGAGTTATTGTTCTTGTGCACAGCACTTCCTCTCAATGTGCTTGACCATTGTATGAAGTTATATTGAATTCCAACCATTAGTCTTCAAGTTATGGTCCGGACAAAAGAAAGCAATGGAAAAGTGACAAAGGGCAATAACTCTGTAATTGCTTTAGATAGAGTTATGGTTCTTGTGCACTGCTCTTCCCCTTATTGTGCTTTACAATTGTATGAAGTTGTTTTGAATTCCAACCAGTAGTTTTTAAGTTATGTTCCGGACATGGAAAAGTAACACAGGGCAATAACTCTGTAATTAGTCAGGATAGAGATATGGTTCTTGTGCACTGCACTTCCTCTCAATGTGCTTGACCATTGTATGTAGTTATATCGAATTACAACTATTAGTCTCAAGTTATGCTCCGGACAAGGAAAATGCAACGGACGGCTGGACCGACCGACCGACCAACCGACCGACCACCGGGCGACTCCTATATACCCCCCCCCCTCCCCCAAACTTCGTTTCGGGGGTATAAAAAGAATGATGGAATTAGTTGACCAATGGCACAAACACAGCCAATAAAGGAAATCATACTAACCTTGTCAGATATGACTGCTTTTGTTTTGTTGTATATATCAGTAACATCTTTAGGGGTGCTAGACTCACGGATATCCATCTACATGATGAATTTAATGTGATTTGTCTTCAAGGTTGCATTTTACAAGAATATATTTTGTCTTGTTGCACTTTTTGCTCGAGAAATATCTAGTGCATGAGGTTTCTTATAATAAGTGTTAAGTCAGCCATCGTGCAAGGAAATTATTCAGCAGCCATTTAGCAATAAGATATTTATTATCTTTACTTCTCAACAAAAGATGAATAACATGTTAATCAGTTGCCTAGTTCATGGTTTCTTGTAACCAAATTTAGTCTTTGTATATGACTTGCAAGTTCTAGTCTCATGTTCCTCTGAGAATAATATTTGAACCCCTAGCTTGACAACCTCAACACTAACTTTACCAAAATTGCTGTCTTGTCAGATTGTCAAGTTAATATGAACTATATGACCCTTAAACAAATAAAAAAAATGAAAAGGCATATTTATAATACAGTTTACAAGGCAAAAATTACTTAACAAGATAGTCAATTAGTGGATTAGGAAATTAGAACAGGAGTTTGTGTATGCCGAACTTTTTTCCTAGTACTTGAAAAGATCCTGTTGTAAGGCCCTGAAAAATATCCGTTGTGGCAGGCGGCATGTGAACAATGGTAAAAAGTAATGTTAACTTTCATAATTTCGATGTAAATGAATTGAAAAATTTTGGATTAACAAAAATTTATATTTTTACCATATACGAACTTAAAATTATTGCTTTATTCCTTTGAATCTTCATTTTGAGGAGGTTTTACATTTCTGACATTTTGGTCACTACGGTAAACAAACAATGCGGTCTTCTCGGCCCTTTGCGTCAAACTTCGGATAAGAACTTTATTGATACATGTAATACCCGAGATGTTCCGACCGGATATATATTTATTTTTGTTGTACTGATTTAAACATATCCTAAAGCCAAAAAAGAACCAAAGACATTAACAATACAATGGTATATATATTCAGCAAAGGGTTGACCACAACGAAGCTACGGGTCCTCATAGGCCTAAGTTACAAAAACATACTTTACAAAAATGATTATCAGTCATAATGAATGCAGTTCGACAGGGCTTTTTATTGCGACGGACGCGCCCTAAGGCGCGTTCAGAGCTATGTCATCTACACATGGGATTTCGTTGGCTACACTTGCTCGATGTGTCCTCAACCGAATAACAGCCCACGAAATAGTACATGAATTTGATCCTATGAAACTCCCATACTTGGTCGGGATATCTTAAAAACTTCCATATTTAGCCTTTTCAATTTCAATTTAAGTTATCCAAGTTAAAATATAAACGTATTTGATTGATAAAAACGATGTAGCCCCGTAGTATTATTGCGCAATTATGCAAATAACTGCTGAAACGATTTACCGCTGTCGAAAAAGTAGGACAGCAAATTATGCTATAATTAAGGAGTAAGCACAATAATTCATAGAAATTATAAGCAGGAAATAAATATTTCCCCATTAAACAAAACATTTTTATTAACAGATCAAAAGTTTTTCGTGACTTTAGAATAACTCGCGCATTAATAAAGGAAGAACTCTTTTCGTGACTCATACCGCGGGTTTAGCTGAATATCCAGCAGATATTAATAAATTAGACTACAGTACACTGGTTAGTATTATAAATATCTATTTTTGAAAATGCATGTAACAAGGGAGTTTTTCAACACTTTACCACCATGTAGTCTTTCATGGTAATCTTTATTGAAGGAAGTTATAATATCAGTTCTACTTCCGATTCTTGTGTTTTGTTTACATAGTTTTCTAGGTCACGATATGAGTTAACCTGCTATGAGATTATAATAGCCTTCGACCAGAAGATAACACTATTCTAAAAATAGATTCTGCATCATCTGTGCTGACTTTCAGACGAGTACACATTATACATGTAATAAACCAGCGGATACTTACTTTGTTTACATGCAATACTTTAAGAAATTCTATACAATTGTAAGAAGCAAACAAGTTGAAAATGGAATTTAGTGTGAAATTGAAAGAGACAACTAAACACTGTAGTGCTTAAGTGACGTAAATGAAAAAAAAATCTAAAAAAAATACACCATTAATTGCTGATGATTTTAACCAAAAATATTTTTAATGAGACATATCCAAGAGAAATAAAAATACAAATGAATGACTTATATTTTATTGTCTATATGCCCACTATGATATAACACGAAGCAATTCTTATTAACATTCTCACATGTATTACGTATAATGATTGAAGTTTATTTGCATGGTTTTATTTTAGAAATATTTCGTTTTTTTTCTATTCACATATCATTTCTTGGAATAAATCGATAAGGACACTGATTCACAAGTTTGACCAGAGTTTTTAGGCATAAATTTCATTCTGTATTTAAAAATTTGGACTTGTTCTGCTTGAAAGTAGAAAATCTGAATTATATCAGAATGGGACATATAAAATATATTGCTCTACAAATCTCGAACTTGTATGGAACAAATTTTCTCTGTTATATCTTTTGTGTTGTTGTTTTTTTTTTTTCTAAAAAAAAGCCCTAATGTCTCTCCGGTTGCATGTCCGTCGCATTCAGTGCTGCAGCACTTTGATTATATAAACAATGGTTAATAACAGATTGTAAAATCGGTCGGTCTTGCAGTCGAAATAATGAGACTAATGGATTGTACTGGTTCAAGATATAGAGATACGATTCAATTTAAATGTAGACGTCTCAAAATCATTTTTGTTATCATTTTATTTTGTTAATAATATATTGTCAAATATTGTCAAAACATGTTATTCATGTGATAAGATATAGCTGACTGGTTCCGGCGCATTTAACAGTTCCGAACAATCAAGCGAACCATTCACGCACAGGTGCTCGTCCAGTCTTGGTGCCCGTATAAAAAAATTGAAGTTAAAAAAAAATTGAAGTTAAAAAAAAAATAAAAAAACAACATCAAAACAACTATTTTGGATTGAGTGTAAGAAAAAAAAATTTAAAAAAATAATTTTTTTCCTATATACCATTACTACGAAAAGGTCGCCATAACGCTACGAAGCTATAAAACCGAAAGTCGAAATTTCCATACAGCTGGTTGGGGACCACCAAAACCGGACAACCACCAAACCTGGACAGCCCTAAAAATGCTTTTTTTTCCTTTGTTCCTTGGTTGGCGATCTATCAGTCACTTTTTAAACAACAATAAATGCATGTTTCTTTTTTAATTATTTAAGTAATCAAATTTATTTCTACGGTAATATTTTAATGTCTATTTCAAAAATCTTGATGTTGAAAATTTCGGCGTTAAGAGTGCAATAGCTGACCTCATATACCCACAGGTGCTCGTCCAGTCTTGGTGCCCATATAAAAAAAATTGAAGTTAAAAAAAAATTGAAGTTAACAAACAAAAAAAAATGAAAAAAAAACAAAACATCAAAACAACTATTTTGGATTAAGTGTAAGAAAAAAAAATTGAAAAAAAAAAATATTTTCCCTATATACCTTTACTACGAAAAGGTCACCTAGTCGCCGTAACGCTACCGAGCTTTACTAGGACACGCTGTGGAACAACCACAATGTCGAGTTCTGTATAACAATACAAGCTATTTTGCTACTCTTTACACATCGTACATATAGAAAATTGTTAACATTCTTCTTCTACTTGACATACAATCTTAAATAACCTACATTTAAACTCGGGCACTCCAAATTGTTAAAACTTTGCAAAACAACAGTGATTGTCGGCCATTTTGTCGAAAACGAAAGTACAAAACATATACCGTATTGGTCCCCTACGACTACGATCGCTGAACAATAGACAACAGTAACCAATAAATTGATGGTTATCGTTGTCTACTGTTCTGCGAACGTAGTCGTAGGAAACCAGGAGAGCGGAACAGTACGATGTAGGTTTTGTACTTTCGTTTTCGACAAAATGGCCGACCATCAACGGAATTTTGCAAGATTTTAACAAATTGGAGTGTCCGAGTTTAAATGTAAGTTATTTAAGATTGTATGTAAGGTAGAAGAAGAATGTTAACAATTTTCTAAATGCATGATGTGTAAAGAGTAGCAAAATAGCTTGTATTGTTACAGAACTCGACATTGTTTTTTTTATCGTTTTTTTTAACTTCAATTTTTTTTTAACTTCAATTTGTTTTTTATATGGGCACCAAGACTTGACGAGCACCTGTGTAACAATACAAGCTATTTTGCTACTCTTTACACATCGTACATTTAGAAAATTGTTAACATTCTTCTTCTACCTGACATACATCTTAAATAACTTACATTTAAACTCGGGCACTCCAAATTGTTAAAATCTTGCTAAATTCCGTTGATGGTCGGCCATTTTGTCGAAAACGAAAGTACAAAACATATACCGTATTGGTCCCCTACGACAACGATCGCTGAACAATAGACAACAGTAACCAATAAATTGATGGTTATCGTTGTCTACTGTTCTGCGAACGTAGTCGTAGGAAACCAGGAGAGCGGAACAGTACGATGTAGGTTTTGTACTTTCGTTTTCGACAAAAAGGCCGACCGTTAACGGAATTTTGCAAGATTTTAACAATTGGAGTGTCCGAGTTTAAATGTAAGTTATTAAAGATTGTATGTAAGGTAGAAGAAGAATGTTAACAATTTTCTAAATGCATAATGTGTAAAGAGTAGCAAAATAGCTTGTATTGTTACAGAACTCGACATTGTGGTTGTTCCACAGCGTGTCCTAGTAAAGTTCCGTAGCGTTAGGGCGACTAGGTGACCTTTTCGTAGTAATGGTATATAGGAGAAAAAAATCATTTTTTTACTTACACTCAACCCAAACAACCCAAAATAGTTGTTTTGATGTTTTTGTTGTTGTTTTTTTTTTTTTTTTGGGGGGGGGGGGGTTTACTTCAATTTTTTTAACTTCAATTTTTTTTATATGGGCACCAAGACTTGACGAGCACCTGTGTAACAATACAAGCTATTTTGCTACTCTTTACACATCGTACATTTAGAAAATTGTTAACATTCTTCTTCTACCTGACATACATCTTAAATAACCTACATTTAAACTCGGGCACTCCAAATTGTTAAAATCTTGCTAAATTCCGTTGATGGTCGGCCATTTTGTCGAAAACGAAAGTACAAAACATATACCGTATTGGTCCCCTACGACAACGATCGCTGAACAATAGACAACAGTAACCAATAAATTGATGGTTATCATTGTCTACTGTTCTGCGAACGTAGTCGTAGGAAACCAGGAGAGCGGAACAGTACGATGTAGGTTTTGTACTTTCGTTTTCGTCAAAAAGGCCGACCGTTAACGGAATTTTGCAAGATTTTAACAAATTGGAGTGTCCGAGTTTAAATGTAAGTTATTTAAGATTGTATGTAAGGTAGAAGAAGAATGTTAACAATTTTCTAAATGCATGATGTGTAAAGAGTAGCAAAATAGCTTGTATTGTTACAGAACTCGACATTGTTTTTTTTATCGTTTTTTTTAACTTCAATTTTTTTTTAACTTCAATTTTTTTTTATATGGGCACCAAGACTGGACGAGCACCTGTGTAACAATACAAGCTATTTTGCTACTCTTTTTAGAAAATGGACGAGCACCTGTGATTCACGTAGACAACAAGTAATATAGAAAATAAAGATAAAATATTCACTGAACTAGATAAATAACTTACCAAAAACTGGACTAATCCAGAGAAAACAACAAAGTATAAACTTATCCATGTATTATATTGTATATTAAGTGTATAACTGTTTTTTTTTAATTTACAAACAAAGAAAATTTTGTTTCGCTTTTAAAACCGAAAGTCGAAATTTCCATACAGCTGGTTGGGGACCACCAAAACCGGACAACCACCAAACCCGGACAGCCCTAAAAATGCTTTTTTTTCCCTTTGTTCCTTGGTTGGCGATCTATCAGTCACTTTTTAAAAAACAATAAATGCATGTTTCTTTTTTAATTAAGTAATCTAATCAAATTTATTTCTACGGTAATATTTTAATGTCTATTTCAAAAATCTTGATGTTGAAAATTTCGGCGTTAAGAGTGCAATAGCTGACCTCATATACCCACAGGTGCTCGTCCAGTCTTAATGCCCATATAAAAAAATTGAAGTTAAAAAAAAAAAAAAAAACAAAGAACATTAAAACAACTATTTTGGATTGAGTGTAAGAAAAAAAATTGAAAAAAAAATATTTTTCCCTATATACCATAACTACGAAAAGGTCACCTAGTCGCCGTAACGCTACCGAGCTTTACTAGGACATGCTGTGGAACAACCACAATGTCAAGTTCTGTATAACAATGCAAGCTATTTTGCTACTCTTTACACATCGTACATATAGAAAATTGTTAACATTCTTCTTCTACCTGACATACATCTTAAATAACCTACATTTAAACTCGGGCACTCCAAATTGTTAAAATTGAAGTTATTTCATTTTTTTCTTACACTCAACCCAAAATAGTTGTTTTGATGTTGTTTTTTTTTTGTTTTTTTTTTGTTTTGTTTTTTTAACTTCAATTTTTTTTTTAACTTCAATTTTTTTATATGGGCACCAAGACTGGACGAGCACCTGTGTAACAATACAAGCTATTTTGCTACTCTTTACACATTGTTCATTTAGAAAATTGTTAACATTCTTCTTCTACCTGACATTCATCTTAAATAACCTACATTTAAACTCGGTCACTCCAAATTGTTAAAAATTTGCAAAACAACAGTGATTGTCGGCCATTTTGTCGAAAACGAAAGTACAAAACATACTACCACTACGATCGCTGAACAATAGACAACAGTAACCAATAAATTGATGGTTATCGTTGTCTACTGTTCTGCGAACGTAGTCGTAGGAAACCAGGAGAGCGGAACAGTACGATGTAGGTTTTGTACTTTCGTTTTCGACAAAATGGCCGACCATCAACGGAATTTTGCTAGATTTTAACAAATTGGAGTGTCCGAGTTTAAATGTAAGTTATTTAAGATTGCATGTAAGGTAGAAAAAGAATGTTAACAATTTTCTAAATGCATGATGTGTAAATAGTAGCAAAATAGCTTGTATTGTTACAGAACTCGACATTGTGGTTGTTCCACAGCGAGTCCTAGTAAAGCTCCATAGCGTTAGGGCGACTAGGTGACCTTTTCGTAGTAATGGTATATAGGGGAAAAAAAAATCAATTTTTTTTTCTTACACTCAACGCAAAATAGTTGTTTTGATGTTTTTTTGTTTTTTTTTTTGTTTTTTTTTTAACTTCAATTTTTTTTTATATGACGAGCACCTGTGTATCAATACAAGCTATTTTGCAACTCTTTACATTTAAAAAATTGTTAACATTCTTCTTCTACCTGACATAAAGTGTCTTTTATTAAATAAGCACGTTCAACAAAATAAACTAAAAAAAAAAAAGAGAGAGTTGCACTATTTTAAAAAAAATATCTATTAAAGTAAACGACAGAAACGTATAGGGAAACAAAATAAAAGCGAATCTGGATTTTTATTGATAATGTAACAGTATTTTTACAATATTACCCATCCATCGTTTTCGAGCACATGTTCATCTAGATTATCAAGGTCAATAGAATCATATTCTTCCTCAGAAAAGTATACTTAATTTTCATCACTATCTGTATCAAGATCAATTATGGTTTGTCCTTTAGATAACAGATTGTTTTCTTCTTCAATTTCGGCTTGACCTACAGAATGGTTGTTTACAGGCATGTCATTTGCTTCGGAACTAACCTCTTCCTCATTATGTTTTGGCAAATCTAGGTTTGAATCAAGGGCACTTGTTATTCCATTATACCGAAGTCTTTGTGTTATGCCTTCTTCCCTAAAAGGTTTTTGAATAAATACACATTATAACAACTTAAATGTTTCTCATGACTTCTTTCAACATTTTAACACAAACATAGTCTAGCAACTATTTGTTAAAAACAACTTTACCGGTTATTTACTCTCCGATAAGCTACAATAATGCGATAAATGTTAACTACATTTATGCTTTAATCTATCTTTCGGCTTTAAGTAAGAGCTGTAAAACAATTATAGGAAACATCATTTTTACGATAATAACAATGAGGTCCATTTTGTCCCTTATCACCCAGGAAAGTGACTGATTACAATAACAGACATAAATTGAGGAGACAAAATTTACACTGCTCAGCACATTTAAGTAGTTTTCAATCAGAAAAAATCTAGATACTTTATAGCATTGCAACTTTGTGTGTCTTCGTTGTTTGAATTCAACTCCTCGCTTTGTTCTGCATATGTTTGGCAAGATTCTCTTTGACTTTGTTTAAATGTCTCGTTTTCTGAAAAACATTAATTTCTGGAAAATAAAATACTGAAAATTTAAAAGTATAAAACATTCATTGTAAGAATCAATCCTGTTTATTCTCGGTTAAATCGTCAAGCATTTAACGCACAATATTTGACATTTTAATATCGTTGTTTATTTAATGTTTATTTAATATAAATATGATTTAAACCAATAACGAAATTAATGTTATGATCTTTAAATCAAATAATGAAAATTATGTGATGCATTACGCATCATACTGGTTATATCTAACCATCTCTATCATATTCCTCTCAAATATCGAAACCCTTAAAACTAACTTCAAAAATAAAGTCATGTTGTTAAGTTCATCATTATCGACTAACCGATTTGATGTCCTTAGTATTAAAATAAACGTTAATCTTTAAATTGCCAAAGTTTTGTAATCAGTGGTAATTCTGTAATTCACTAAGTAAATCATAAATTATAAACAGTCGAAATGTGCAATAATCAAAGTATGCAAGTCGTGAGATAAATAAATACGCACTTGTCTGTGAAAACCGTCTTCCGTCACTATTTCCTTTATCGTTCGTGATGGATGTGCTCCAAATGCAATTATTTATTAACCTGAATAAAGATATTTAATTATAGACAATAAACAATAGACAATAAACAGTATTTATTACATACCCGTTACGATTTTGTGACACAGTAAAATGGTCTTCTTTTTGACAGTAATGACAGTAGAAAACACGTCAGTACATTATAAGCAAACTGGCCATTTTGCATTGTTTATCTTATTTATTTTTCAGTGGAGTGTCTATTATGTACGTTTATGCCAAATTGATTATATCAATTATAATTACATAAATCAATTAATAAAACATCCATTTAGCAAACTTACTTTTCTTTATGATGTAAGTATATTAAATATACAGCTGCTGCAATAATCAGTGCAAAGACAACTAAAACTACTACAACCAAATTTACAGCATTGCTTCTTTCTTCATCTGTAAAAACAACATTTATTTAATAATCCTTTCAATTCTATTATGTTAAAAGGCCTAAAAGCATTGTATATGAGCTTCAACTGCCAACATAAGCATTATTTAGAGCATGATACCTGGGAAGTTTGTTGTATCTCTCTTGGCGGTCAATCCACCCAACCTGATTTCCAAGTAATACTTAATTATCCGCAAGAGACCGACCACAAGAGAGAGAGCGACAAAGAGTCATTACACTCAACGTCCGAGATCAATTGTCATGGAGAATTTGCCTCCTCGGGGATCGAACCAGCGATGTCTGGGCTCTCTCAATTTATCTACATGTATTTGAGTAGAACACAATTCTTCCAGTAATGTAGCAGTGTAAGAGCTTATTTATATAACACTCCTCTTCAAATATTTGAAAGTCTCAATGTAAATTCATGCCATCAACTAATAAGTTTTAGTAATTGAACTGATATATGAACGTTTTGTTGCAGTTTTCTTCAATTAATCTAAGAAATAAACATTTTAAACTTTGAAATAAGACAGTTAAAGAAAGGAACTGTTCATCATTATATTTTTATATTTATAATAAGTCAGTACTACCTCGATCGTCGACAATGTATCTTCCAACGGTATAATATGACTCTTTTTGTTCGTCACCATAATCCGCAATAACTTTCAAATAGCAATTTCCATTGTCATTAGCCTTTGCGGAAATTACCTCTGAGTACTGTACTTGAAGATCATTCCCGCAATCAGAATCCTTCGAACAACTTGTTATACTTGCGTTTCGGATTTTTGGGGTGATTTCTTTCTCGCGCTTGTTATGTGCCTACAATGAATGAACGATTTTACATGTCCTGAATATCTGTAACATTTTATAATTTTGATTCACATAATTTGCAATGACATAGACCTATATTAACCCTAAACCCTGTTGTCGGTAATCGAATGAGCCAATGAAACAAGTGATTTAAGATCAGACAGGCACATTCGTGCTTTCTGATGTCAAATGATCTAACATAAATATTAGTTACTGGTGAAGAAGTTTATGTCACCAACTTACGCTGATTTGAAGCCAGTGGGACTGAAAATATAGACATTAAGACATGCCAGAATTGATTATTCAAACATTTGAGAAAAAGAGAAGCTTCCATGGTAAAACTTGCTAAAATCACGAATTATTGCATGTGTAAGCTAATATGTATATTATGAAATCAGGACGGTAGAGCAACGTTCAACTTATGAAGGTATTCCCACCAACACCTCTATAGTATCCTGTTGTGTAGATACATCGAGCACGGACGGAAAAAGGGCAATAAAAAGGGCCAAAATAGGTTAATCTGAAGGTCGCTACTATGATAAGATATAAATTGTTGAAGGCTTAAGCTTAATACAATTTATCGACACATATTTTTAAAATGCTAGAAAAGAAGAAGGTAACAAAAATAGCTATGATACAAAAAGAAGAAACTGTTTTGTTTTGTTTTTTTCAGAATTCATCTCCGAACTTATACACTTAAAAGATTACATTGAAAATTTAACAATTTTACTTTCTCATCACTTTATCATGGATGGCATCTTATAAATTTAATATGCACTAACTTTAACTTTACTATGATGTTTGAATATTTTCATTCGACGGTTTTTCAGGATTCCTAACCACATTATTCTGTCAGCGTAGACTATACAATCTAGGATAAAAGTGATAACAAACACGAATGATGAATATAAATTGCTTAAATTAGATTTTTTATAAAACGCTTTACTAAAAACATTTATATATTATGATTTTATAAGAAGAAAAGAAGAACATACACATATCTCTATCCATTTAAACAAACTTTCGTGACATTGGAAATACAGCCAGAGATCGCCTGTATGGTCCCAGCTGTTGTATTTTCAAAAAGCAGAGGCTCGTAATCTGTAACAAATATCAAAAATATTTATACATTGAAAGTCTCTTATTAAAATTAAAGTGATTTCGCTTTAATACTAGCTATAATAAAAATTCATGTGATTATCTTAACATTTGTAAGAATCTTTTCAACAATTCTGTTTTCTTTTAACTGAGTAAATAACATGAGTGTAGCAAAATTTAAAGCTTGAAGTTTTTCTTAGAAACAATCGATCTTAAAGTCGTCTGAACAAGACCTTACTTCTTAAACAGAAGCACTTTCCATTCCAACGGTAACATAGTAAACTGCAGGTGGTTAATAATGAGAAATCATACCTTGTCAAACGTAAATACATTTAACAAATGATATTTCAAACGAAAATATGAATTAAAATATTTTGTACAGAACTTGTTATTCAATCCTGTACCTAAGTAATTAATGTCTGTTTTACTCAGATAATTTTGCCAAATCTATCTCCAGATATGATTCTTAGACTTTTACGGCCAGGTGATTGCAAAGGCTTTAACATTTAATAAATAATATAAGTTTCCACAGTTTATTTGCTCCCTATAAAGATTTTTAATTGAATTTTGGTCACGTTTTAAGTACATGAGGTATGTAATTGGGCGCAGCTCTCATATATAAATATATAAGGAAAAAGATAAGTAATATGTCATGTTTCATATAAATATGAAATGTGTATGTTTAAAGACATAAGATATCGAATGTAGATAAAGCAATGGTTTTGATTATAAATACCTGAGAAAAAGGGGACTGCAACGTAAATAAATAGGTTATGCTCACCTTTGACCCTAATAATCTTTGAATCAGTATTGGTTCCATCTGAACACACCAACTTTCTTCCATCATCTTTCATGGTTACCTTAATAATTGTCAAGCTGAAGATATGATTTGTCTCATCATATGATATATTGTATTGATCAATGTATTTAGGGTTAATGTCACATTCGGTTCCGTTTCTTAAGCACTTAGCAATTTGTACAGTTTCGTGTGGATTCTTCCAAGCAATGGCAAATGTTTTCTTCTTGAACTTGCAAGATAATGTTAGATCTCGGCCACATTCACATGCATTTTCATTAGCAAGGCTATCTGGTACCAATGTATCAACGTTTGAAGCTGAATTTAAACAAAAACATTAATGTGTAAGGAGAAACATTATGACCGTGAAAAATATGAACAAAGCGAGCGTATGAAGATAATTTATTAAGTGAATGATAAAGACAAACATATGGAATAGAAATCATCGCTAATTTTATTACCTAGTAACATAGCCGCAAATGATGGGAATGTTCAGTTTGCAATTGAATAACTGTCTCAAGTTCAGAATTCACCTGGTAAATTTATTTGATACAGGTTTAGCAGTTTCTTTTGAGTTGCTTCCCAAGCGAATTTTCAACAGATCAAATTATTTATCTCAATCCAAACCGCTTCAATGTATAATATAACTCAAAGTTTCCCTCTCTTCAAAAGATAAGAGAAGCGGTTTCCTAGTGGTTAAGGCGTCCGCCTCGTTACTAAAGGATATGGGCTTAAACCCTACTCGGTGCATGATTGTCATCTCTCATATGGCACTAGAACTGCATGGTTAGTACCATAAAGTGTACTTAAAAGTGATTGGTATAAGTTGCAAGAACGTGTTTCGCAATTGAATTAAATGCGTTTGTACAAAGGATATGTGCACATGGTCAAATGATTCGAGTTTTACGTTTAAGAAAAAAAATGATAATCATTTGGAAATGAGAGTATTTTTTTGAAATAAACAAAGGCAGTGACATAGCTGTCTAAAGCCGATTGTGCGCGTACGTGCAATTTATTCCGATTGCAATTTATTCCGAACGGTTGAATTATACGTATAAATTATTGCGATAACAAGAGTTATCGCCGAATAATGCCAAGTTTTTGTTGTTTTTTATCAACATTTTATATAAATTTGACCTTGACGGGTTTTGCAAAAAAGTTTTGCACTTATTCCTTCAAAATGCAAAAGCCTGAATATTGAGAAAACTAACTTAAGAAAGAACAACTTTTTTCGTAGTATACTATAAAATCAATTACTTTCGTTAGGCCCGCAAAATATTCGTTGTAGCAGTCATTGATGAAAATTTGATATTTTCGATGTTAATGAATGAAAAAAATTGGAAGTAGCAAAAAATAATAGTTTTACCATCTACGGACTAAATTTTTTGAATCTCCATATTTAGTAAGTTTATTTACATTTCTGACACGATTAACAAACATTGCGCGCGCAAAGCGGTGTCGCTTCAAAAACACAGGCAGTTAATACTTTAAATATAGTATACTATATTAATAGTATATGTGGATAAAAAATTTAAAAACAACTTTCCCTTAATATTCGGTCACAATCAAAGGGGGTTGTAACGGTGCCTGGACTCTATATTAGGGTTTTTGAGACCAAAACTAGGTCCAGACTTAAATAAAGTTGACAACCTTTATATTTAGGTGCCTGGGCTCTATATTAGGGTTATTTGTGTCCAAAACTAGGTCCAGACCTAACATAAAAGTGACAACCCTATATATAGACTATATATATAAAGGTTGTCACCTTTTTAAGGTCTGGACCTAGTTTTGATCACAAATAACCCTAATATAGAGTCAAGGCACCGTTACAACCACCTTTGATTGTGACCGAATATTAATTGTAGTGGTACCACGAACATTAAGTCAATTAGTGATTTACGAAATAAGAACAGGCGTATTTGTAGGCCAAACTTTATTTTCGCAGTTTACAATTAACTACTTTAATATTACTACTGTAAAGCCCCGGAAAATATCCGTTTAAGCAATAAACATAGACATATTGAGTTATTTTCGTTGTTAATGAAAGAACAAATTATTATGTTTATATGTCAAATTTTGACATGAAATGGTGAGATTTCTGTGATAATACAAAAATATGTTACCAAAAACAGGACAAATCCACAGAAACCAACAAAGTATAAATTTATCCATGTTTATATCGTTCATGTCTGTAGTTATGCTTTTGAACGCATGCGCACAATCATTCTAGAAACATCCTTCTTTCTGTTTACAAATTAAGAAAGAAGTAATTCTTCATTCTGCAGTACTGAATCATCATTAAAATCATGTTTGCAAAGTTATTTAAAGGTTTTGAAAGTTCAAAATCGAACAGTTTGTTTTAAAACATTTAAACATTTAAAACAAAGTATGAAAATTAACAGTTAATTCAGTGTTTACCTCCGCATTAAATTTCGTATCACTCATGCGCATCGTGCAAGCATAAATATTTTACCTAATAACCTCATGTAAACAAAACAGGGCGATGTATGAAGAATGTTTATTTGACATACATAGGAAAATAAAGTCTATTTAAGTAAAATTATGATCGAAATTATGTCTTACAATCATTATCAAATGCCCATTGATGTAGAATTATACACAAATACGAATTCCGATTTCTACAACCATAATAATAACTAAACAAGCAATTATCATAGTATCGCAAGCAATCCATAAGTCCCCAAAGCAGCAATCTAAACGGCCAATTGCATAACTTAAATCTTTTGAGTTCTTAGTTTGAGTTCTGTATCATAGTAATGTGTTAAGTTTCCCTGTCTAGTAAGGAAATTATGTTAATACAACAGATAATTCAAAGATCGAATTTTCTCAGGACGAATATGTATAATTATAATGTTTCAACTTTTCCCTATATTAAGTTAATTTGTTGGAAAAGTTTTAAGTTCTTTAAGAGTGATTTCCGGAAACAGCTTTTAGGAACGGACAGACAGACAGACTGAAAGACACTCTGAGGGTAAGTAAATCTTTAATCGTCCCTGGTTGTTCATTTAAAAAAATCTTAAACTAAAGAGGAAGTAACTCACTTTTGAAATAAAGATGCTAGACTTCTGAACATTGTCATACATGATGTGAGTGAAACAAAGAACAAATATCTTTAGTTTTATAGTCACAAAAAGAAAAGTGAAAAAATAACAATTTTCAAATATACCGTTTATTATAAGTAACAAACAAGAAAATTAAAAACAAAAAAATATTACAAATGAATTTCAAGTTCATAATGAAAATAATCATGGAAACCCACGACTTATAAATCTAATCACATATGAAGTAGGTGTTGATAATGGGGGTATATTTTAAATTTGAAGAAAATCCATGGTAATATAAAGTTAAAGAATGAATAAAAAAATTCAAAGTTTAAGGAAATGATTCTGGAGATATGGACGCTGGATTTATAACCCTCCTTGTCATATTATTATGACGTGGGAGTTTTAAGTAAATGCTTTAAGAAATGAAGATTTTTGAGTAAAAACTAATAATTTCTAGAAAAAATCTAAGTTCAAGATGGACATAATTTTGGAAATAGTCATGCTAGAGTATAGAACCTTCTCACAAATGATTTGAATGGTAATAAGAAACACATATATGAAGTTTGAAGTAGAAACATCAAGAAAAAAAGAAGTTATAAAAAGACCCAACATTTTTTCATGAAGTTCGACGAAGTAGCCGACACTTTGTGAGTAGGACATATTTCAATAATCTCCCTATAGTAAAGATTAAAGTGATGTGTATATTCTCCATACAGCCATCTATCCCTATCCATATTTTAAGTTTCATAAAATGTTGTCAGTTCATTTTGAGTAATCACAAATATCATTATATTTGCCATATTTTAAGACTATTGTTGACATAGCAACCATAGGTTTCAACATATGAAGAAAAGAAAAAGAGATGCATAATCTCCAGACTACACTCTTTCCATAAAGTTTCATAAAAATATTTTCAGTACATTTTGCGTTATCACTGGATCCAATTTATATGTTCATTTTGCCCTATTTTTCAGTCTATTTGTTGCCATAGCAGCCAAAAATTTCAATATAGGAAGAAAATAAATTGACGTGCATAACTTCCAGACTGCCATCCATCCATATATGGACGGACGTACCAACTTTTGATATTTAAGAGGCAAATCAGCTCATAAACTACACCTGGACGTTAATCCATAAGCTGAATTTAGCTAATAAAAACAAAAAATAGCTCACAAGTGTAGCTTGCGGAAAGCTTAGAATTGGAACCTGTCCACAGTTGATTGTTTGAAATGCAAGCTTTGGATTTGAATAGCTCGCAGCATGCTAAAATTAAGCTTGCTGGTAGTTTGTGGCAAGCTTGCGACTAGCGTGTGACAAGCTTGCAACTGGCTTTTTGCAAGCTTGCGATTGGCTTGTTGCAAGCTAATGATTAGCCCTTGGCAAGCTTGCTACTAGCTCATGGCAAGCTTGCCCCAAGCTAGAAAAATCTCTGTATTGGCTCCTAAAATAGGTAACATTTTTAAATTTCTCTTTGTGCTTAAACTTAAGTAATCAGAAGATCACAAAATCTCACTTCTGAGGACTTTTTGCTAAGGTAAGCAATACAGTGTCAACTTTCAATTGATAAACAATAATTATTCATTAACTGACTTATATCAAAGAAATTTATTCTTTCACTTCATCCACATAAGTATTTAAATATGGTTCCATGCATAAAGGTATACCACTATTAAACATTCTAAGTGTGTATCTTTTAATTAAATTTCCATTTACACATGTCCTTCACTGTCTTTTCCAAATAGCTTCACTGGTACAATGCTGGTTTAATTTCATATGATGGGAATGTCTGTAAAAAGTTATTTCGAGATGGTTATTTATGATTTAAATGCACATGCTTATATCCATAAATGGTTATCATCCATAAATGGTTATCATGCATCTTTAAATCTAAACGCGTCAAAGTTTAGATTGTAAGTTTGGGGGATAGAGAAATAATAGATATATAATAATTACATGTAATTAATATGCAATATTATATATTGATGTTATTAGCTTGTGATAATTGATCTTGTACTTTATCAACGTTATGACCCCTAGCAATTAACATTTCAGTTCTAGAACAATGTTTGCTTTTGTTGGTATCAGTAACCCAGATCAATCCATGTCAATACGAACAAAGGACTCAATATACTGTATACCACAGCAATAAGCTTTCTGTTTCACTTAACCTGCTGATTAAATGATCGAACTTGTCCAGTTTCCTCTTCCTTTTCTGGACCTGTCCATTATCAATTTTTGGGATATCAAGATGAAAAGTGAATGTTGGTCAGTAAACTGATTTTAAAGTTGACATAGCTCTATATTGGTAGCAAAGGCTCCAGTAGGGTATTGCCAAACTATGGTGTGAAAAGTAATAGTATTAACTAAACATCTTTTCGTGAATCACTTTTACGTGGATCCTATTATAAGGTAAATGTAAAGTCTATAAAACAAAAGCAGTACCAATAGAATGAAAGTAATAACACATAAGACAGTTACATTTTTAAAGCTTTTATTTTAATCATTCCCTTAATATATCAATTTCACAGAAGAGAAAAAACACATTCACATCATTAACAAGCATACAATACCTAAGGTTCATTTATTTCATTCCATGCAATTTCACAAAAGTATTGTCCGCAATGAAAATTGTGAGCAAACAAAGGTAGAGCAATATTTGTTTCACTGTAGTCCTCAACACAGGACCACTGTAACATAACTTGATAATAATAATGTGTTCTTACAAAAAAAATCTTAATGGTCCAATAAACCAGTATGTATATGGGAGTCTTAGCGCAAAACAAAATAACTCCTTTATGCCATTTGACTTACATTAATGTTTTGCATTAATTCCTCGATATGTTTATTTATAATAAGTAAAACCCTCTATTACAGAGTTTTATGAGGACATATTTTAAGAAGTAAAGGGAAAAAGTCATCACCACAAGACCACATGCTGGTAAATTAGAACAAAAAATTAAAAATAGTAGATGACTTCATAAAAGATTAAATGGTAAATTGTTCTTAAGTATTCTTGTAAATTTTAAAGAAAAAACTGACCAATAGGATCCTTTCCTTTACAATATTCATTGAATACTGAGTATCCATCCATAAAAGGGCATTAATGTCAACAGGGTCTTTCTATTTGAAAGACCCTGATGTCAAAGAGCACATGTCACACAAAAAATCATCATCTAAATTGTCAAAATGTAAAACAAACACACAACATTTCTTAACACAGTATCATTTTCAATATTGAAACAAAAGTTCTCAGACAAAAATTGGTAAAGTAAATAAAAATTGTAGAATAGGTTTTACTTTTTAGTTTCCATGGAAGCATTAGATTAATACATGGCAATAAACATTCACATTAAAAAGTAGCATTACAACAAAG